CCTCCGTCGTCGGGCTAAACTCGGCCCCCCACTTCCTCATCACCTCGGCCGACCCACAGCGTGTAGCTCAGACCATGCTTCAATATTGGGCATAAATCAAAAATGTCTGTGTCAAGCTCACTGCGACACACTGCTGTAAGAGTATAACCAGGATGCGTGGTAGGAGGGCAAAATAGGTTCAGCGCCACCGCAGCACGGGAGGGAGAATTACACCCAGGAGCAAATGTATAAAAATAGACCGGAGGAAAAAACAAAACATGAATCGATACGCTTGCGGACGTGTCAATGCATCGAACCAACGAACCGATGCATCGATACAAAACAATTATTATTTACACCCCTATTTCTTAGCACTAAAAAATTATTTTGATCCGAGATAGATATCCTGTGAATAATAGCCTTCTAAATGTGGTTGTATCTGCATTTTTTCTTCCTACCTGGAGAGGAGTTGGCTCGTCTTAGCATGCGCTCCACCTGGCTGACTGTGTCCTCCCAGCAGCCAGCGCTGGCCTGCATGTGGGGCTGCAGCAGCTGCAGCCGCTCGTTCAGGTCGCGGTAGCCTTCCAGGGTTAAATCTGTTAGCTGCTTGGACACCATCAGCTTCTCTAGATCATCCTCCAAGATAATCATCCTGTTCACCAAAAAGGATTAAAAACATTTATTTTTAGCAGAACTTACGACTCTTAACGTTTTATAATTATGCCACTGACTCATTTATTCATATGTACTTTAGTTTTAAATTTTTTGTTTTTACCTTTCTATGATGATTTTACCTGTTGCATTTCAGATTTTTCTTAAATATAAAGTGCATTAAAAATAAAATGTATTATTATTATTATTTAAAAGGGTGAAGCTTAGATTAATGCTTGCAGTTAATTAATTTTCTTTGAGCGTCATTTTATACGTGTTTTGACTGCCTCTCAGCGAATGCAGGGATTGGATAAGAGCTGTGACTTTCTGTGTGTGCTGCGTCTCACTCGCTGAGCAGCGCCTTGAGGTGAAGCTGCAGGCTTCGGATGGACGTGTGCAGGGTGTTCAGCTCTCTGCATTTCTCCCTCGCACGCCCGTTCTTGTCGGAGCTCGACAACCTCGGCTGCATCTCGAAGTGTCGGTGGAAGTCGTAGCTGCGCTGAACGTCGGCGAGACAGCTGGCTAGAGCATGATGGAGGGGCTCGGTCACGGCAGCGACGGAGCGGTGAAGCGGAGGCGGTGGGTGGGATGAAGGAGGGTAGGTGTCTTCTTTGGTTCTGTCTTCCTCAGACTCTGCAATTCGGTGCGGCGAGAGGAGAAGAGCGAGACGTCGCAAACATTCTGAACTTTGACCCAACCACAGCTGGAAGAGCATCTGCAGAGAATAAACAGTTTATCAGACAATTTCAATGATTTCTAAATAAACCTGGTATTCCTTTACTTTAGGAACACAACATCCAACCTTGAGGGCTGGAAGGCTGTAGTCATCAGTCAGCTCCTGCGCCTGCTCGTCCCCGAGGTGCTCGATGCCCAGGCCGAGCCCCAGCTCCTTCAGAGGCACCGCGCACACGTAGTTGGTCACATTGTCGACCTCAGAGTTCAGCGGGAACGTTCAGAGAAGTTAAAGAACCAAATGATGTCTACATCTAGAGACTTTCATGTTTGCCCAGTTAATGTTCCTAAAAAGGAAGGGTCCCTTTTAATCAAAAATGGGTCATGATGCATCAAAGTATCAATTCTATCAAAGAATGAGAGGGATTTCTGACCCATAAA